ATATAAACTTGTAAAATAGTTTTTTATATGAGATAATATCTATCTATAAAATATATAAATTGTATATAAAGAAAAAGGAACATCAGAAGGAATGCTAAATCCATCACAAGCACATCKTCGAGACGCACTCTATACCTTGGCCTGGTACGTCCACACATTGGTTATGCCACCCAGGTTTGGGCGCCCCAATCTATAGAACTAATCTCGAAGGTCGAATCGATCCAAAGACGGGCCTCTAAGTTCATCTTACGCTTGCCCTTCTCAACATCTATAGAATATAAGCAGCGACTCCTATCATTAAATCTTCTTCCGGTTGCCTATTGGCATGAACTGTTGGACCTGGTTTTCTTCTTCAAGGCCACACATAACTTGGTTTCTCTTCACGGCTCTGTTCTTCCAATTAAACGTGTTKCAAGACCTAYGCGCTACTCTAACAATCTTACCAAATTTGTTCCTAAAAACTGTAAAACAATTACATATCAAAAGTCATTTTTCATTCGATCCTGTCGTGTATGGAACACACTATAGTTAGTCTTTTAAACTTTGATACTTTAAGCTTGAGCTCCTTTAAATCTGCACTGTATAATTATTATCTGGACAGTCTCTATATTTCCTATGACCCTTATAATCCAAGAACCTTTAAGACTATCTGTTTAAAATGTAATTCTGCCCGTCCTCTTAACGTAAGAATATCTTGCTGTATGTAATTTTATTGTTCTTGTCTTTTAATCGTTTTACCTTGGGCCCGCTGTAATTGGCTCTGCTGTTGCGGTGTCCCTGCCACTTTCTCATTATTGTGTTTGCATGTTATTTATTTATGTTATGTGCTCATGTATTTACAGATGTTATTCTTGGCGAAGCTAATAAAATAAAATAGACGGAGCTGCCGTCAGAGWGTCGGGTTGATCTTAGCAATCAACTCGGCGAAGTCATTTCTCTCCTGCGTTGCACGTTTAGCCTGCTGGACTGTGACTTGTAGTAAATTGGCAATATGATTCCACGGGTCTCTATAATATCGCCTGGTGGGTTTTGCAAAAAGCATTCTTTTTGTAATAGCAGTGATAGGTGATCTACAGACRTGTGCAATATATTTCAGATATTGGKCGTTGATGTAATCTCTTWCTGGAGTTGTCTTCAATATGTTCACTATTTCAACATTTGTATAGACAAAGGCATATTCGGAGCCACTGGGGGCGTTTTTTCTAGACCATCCTCCTTTTACCATGGTTCTCAACATTTCATTYCAGCACATTTCTAAACGTTTCATCTGAGCTGTGTTAGGATACCATGCTTGCGTTCCATACGTCAATCTTGATCTTAAGACCGTGTCACACTGGCGTTTTTTTCGTGCAACTTGTGTCGCGCAAAAAAATGTTGAAGTTGCACGATGCCATGTCACACTAGCAAAATTCCATTGCAACTTAGCTCGCACAAAAAAAATGTTCAAGTTGCACGCGTAAATTGAAAATGTACGATCATCTCACTTTCTGTATCGTTTTCTTCTTCAAAATTAACACTTTCGCCAAAGATGGCGTCGGGCATCTTTGCTGATTATTACAACAAGTGACAACATACACAGATTCTCGCTTTATTATGGGTTCGTGCGCCTAATTGAAAAATTTGGAAGTTGAAAGAGACCATGTCACACACGCGTTTTTCCGAAAAATGTTGAAAAAAGTAGAAGCCAGTTCTACTTTTTTCTCAACAAAAAAATGAAATGTTCAATGAGTTCTGCATGAGGGGGGTCACACGTAAAAAAACGCTCGTGCAACTTCAACATTTTTTTGCGCGACACAAGTTGCACGAAAAAAACGCCAGTGTGACACGGCCTTTTAAGCTTTACGGAATTTCGGCGCCTTTTTTCTTGAACAGCCGATAAACAGTCCTCTAAAATGTTGTTGTTTTATGGTCATAAAGATTAGTCAACCCAAAAAGAGTTCCATTCAATGTCCATTTGCATGTAAAAATTTGCAAGCTTAAGCTACTTGCTTCAGTCATGTTCAGTTTGCTCAATTTGAACCTTCGTTCCTCGTCTTCAACAGCCATTTGATTTCAAATTCTGGTTATCAGTTAAAGATCCAGAGTGTGATTTGAGTCGATTTGTGTTGCTTTTGCTGTCCAATGAATTTTGTTGGTCTTCGGCTGCTCAATGAAAACATGGATAATAAACTTAAGCTTAAGTGCTTTTATTATCCATGATGAAAAGTTCATAATTAATTGTTGGTTGTTGTTTTTTCTCCAGATTTTCCCCTGTATTCCCAAGAGTAATTACACCTGTTTTCTATCACTGGCTTCCTCATCGGCTAAATATGAAGCGAAAGGTGATTCTGCCATAGGCTACCCAACTATTGCTTTAGAGAAAGAAAAGAATGAAGTCTCGGCGAAAGCTATTTGTCAAAGAAAGAATGAATGCGCACGCTTTTATATTATGTTATCGAATCGGCGCGCGCTGTGGGTTACCTGTGGTATTACGTCACTATCGCGCGCCTCGCGGGATACAAACTAGTCAAGCAATAGTTGGGTAGCCTATGATTCTGCTTCCTTTTTAATGAATTTTGAACTTTGAATTTTGAAGATCTTCCTCGCCGGCGGTCGACCGGCGGCCGTCGGTCATTCAGAAACCTATTGTTCAAGTCGCTTTCTGATTGGCTGTTTTGCGCTGAATTTATAATGAGCAATTCTAAAAATAGCACCAAGAGGGGTAAATGCGCGCCGTTCCAAGAGCTTATGAAGAAGCACAGGGAGCCCAAGCAGTTCACTATTGAACCGATTGACACCAGATTTTGGAATTTTGCATTTCTCAACAAGGGCTTTCTCAAAAAGGGCTTTCTTCTATCCAATTAGGGGATTTTGCCCAGTCCCCACTTGAAATCCGGCAATACGAGTTGTCCGTATGTCGAAGTGCATTATGGGGGTGYAATTTTCCGCTGTACGGGTACCTTACGGGCTCAGAATACACATTAGAATCAAAAAGAATATTGACTAAGATGAATGGAAGAAAGCAGCTTCTGCTGCTTTTTCTTGCTTTCCTATACATTACTCCTGAAGTCCATGGCTTTATAGAAGGACTTTATTGCGGACGATATAACTGTTATGATGGTAGGGAAATTATCAATCGCGATTGAGAAAAAAAATCAAAAGTTTTACTGCTCATTTGTGAAACATGCCAAATACGCTATAAAATGCTAAAGATTTTAAATTGAGCTTTTTTCTAACTACTGATGCAATAATTTTAAATTCTTATGCTTCTTTTTTAACAGTTCTTGGTGTGACAAGAGATTCMACAAAGGTATAGTTAATATTACTACGTGTAGTGTGTTAATTTATCGTTAATCATCCATGAATAATAACTGAGTGTCTTTCTCTAGTAAATTAGTGTTGTCCTCTAGACAACGTGCCTTCCAAAAAAATATTAGTTTGATTGCCACAGTGATTTTATTTGAACAAGCTTTTATATAAGAACAAAGCCTCATATTGTTTATAGATAGACTTTACGTGGACAAACAGTTTTATTATGAAAACGTTTTTCACTACGTGGCTTTCAACAGAGAAGGCAAAACTAAACTTCTGTTATGGAAACCGCTTTTCCTTCGGCCTTTATCGGTCTCAACATCTCAGCATTAAGTAGTAAAACAAAAGCTGTACAATCATTTATTTCTGTTATCAACATAGAAGTACGGAAATATGTTTCAATTATTTCTCATTGTTTATAGTGTTTACCTTTTTAACCGGTAAATTTCTCGATGTGTTCCTTTTTTTAAGAGTTTCTTTCTTTTTTTTCTTTTTAACATTCACTTACCATTTTAGAGTTGCCTAGCATTTCACTATGGTATCTTTTATAAGTAGAATTAAATGAAGTGTTTATTTTGAAAGAAAAACAAATTTAGACATGAAATATATCTTGTTCAGCTGTGTTAAGCAATAACAGGTCATTGAAATCAGTAAGAACCTAGATTTACTGACACTGTATGACCCAGACACTGACTCTGATCCCTTCTGGCGATCATATCATCGCTCCATGGCAACATTCTTAATCTATTCAGACAGATGAGTTTTAACTCAAAAAAATATATCAAAATATCAAATGAAGTGATTTCAACCCCAAAATAGATTTAAGTCACTAAACAAAGAAATAATTTTCATTCTCTTTTTCACATTGCTAACAAAGTTTTTGAATAATTGTATCTTGGAAATGAAACATCTATTTGATAAAAAAAAACATTKAAATCAAACTCATAAAAAGCAGAGACTTGATCTAGTCTTCTTGGATGACATTTCGATAGATTTTATATTATTAGCGACGAATAAAATTAGTGTGATAGTGAAATATACAAGAGGAAAATAAACGAACGAACGAGGCAAGACGCAACGCGGTATGACACCAGATACACTCGTAACCTTCCCATTCCACATTAAACTATATTAATCATTAACTWATATATCACTAAAAAGCAGATTGATGTTGTTTCCAGATAGAGGTTGATACATATAGGACCTTTTTGTCTGGTAATGGTAAACTATCGATCATTAAAATCTAATTAAATGGTCGGTCAAACTATATGTCCAATACTTAAAAAAACGGAAAAATCACAAAATGATGAGTTGTTTCAATTTATTTAGCTCAAATAGTCCACCAAGAATACAGTTCATAATGTCCTACACTCAACTACTATATTGTTTATTTTAGTATTGTGTGTGTGTGTGTTGTTTTTTTTTTGTTTTTTTTTTGCTTTAAATTCTTAAAGTATCCATTAAAGTATCCACAATTCTCAATTGATACCACCAATATATTTCACTACCCAGCCACAATCACATTCTTGTCAATATCATGTGCTACTTCCAGATATTGCCTAATTATCAAAGCACTCACATGAATACAAAGAGCAATAAATGTATAATATTATTTTTATCAATTATTGCCTTATTGAAATCCATCAGTTGTACTAAAAGTTTTACTTTATCTTGTTTTACAGGGAGAAATCTCCAAAGAGTACAGAAAGTTGGCCAGAAAATTCCATCCTGATAGATATAAGGTCAGTACTGTCAAAATATAAGAATCTAATATGCAGATTCATGTAATGTGTTAGTACATTTACTTTAGCAATATTTAGTAATCTAAGAATATTACTTTTGTAGGGTGATGATGTGGAGGCAAATGCTGAGAAATTCAGGCTCATTGCCACTGCTTATGAGGTATGATTTGAAACCTGGTGCATCAATGCTTAAATAAAAACWGTAGCTGGAACCAAATGTACATTGGGTGAATAAAGGTATCCAATGGATAACACGATCCACTCCAAGGATGTGTGGTTTTAATGCACTGGGATTTATCCAATGGATAGCATTATTCAACCTTCATACATCAACTGGTTCCTGACTTAGCCTACCTGAAGCTAATGTGAATTGCTTGTTTCTTATGAAACAGTGATAAAAAGGTCATTTTAACAATAAAAGGACCAGGAAAGAACAATAATCAGTACCAATCATCAATATAGCATCCAAAACACTGTTTTTTTGGTCAAAAGCTATTGTTAAAAGGTCTAATTTTCAATATAACTAACAAATAAAATGTTTGATAGCRTCAAGGTAGCCTTTCAAACAGTCCTCCAAAAATTTAAAATAAAAGTGGATGATAGTTAATGTGTCTATTAATTTAAGAAAATAAAATGTTTAACAAATTCTAATAAATAGACTCTCAAAGACCCAGAGCAGAGGGCTGATTATGACTACATGTTGGACAATCCTGGTAAGATTAAACAAATGGCACAGTACTACTTAATATTATAATTTAACATCACATCATTATCAACATCAATATCACAGGGATACAGTAGATTGCTGTGACAGTGATTAAGTAGCCTACTTTGCACTGGAAACCCTACTGTGTGGGATTCCTGCTGGAATAATTAAAGGAATGAAAAAGGAGCAGTTAATAGCTAACAATTGAATTAAGTTTTCACAAATTTCACATTAACAAAATTAAATTTGAATATAAAAATGAAGCATAAATCTGCATTCTTTGTATTCCAGAGGAAACATATCGTCACTATTATCATTATTATGCGCGTCGCATGGCCCCACAAGTGGATGTCCGCATTGTAATTGGAGTTACTATTACTATTATATCAGTATTACAGGTACACAAACATGTAAAAAACAGCTTTGTTGTTTTTAATGTTGTTGTTTGTTTTTGTTTTCAATATGTTTATTTGAATTTCTCATTAATTATTCATGAGGTATCCAGCCAATCCCTGATTGTAATTTGTACCACGTGAAGTAACTTGAAACCAGAGGAAGTACTCGTACCTTGTATTCTACCTTATTTCCAATTACTTCTACCTTTTTCAAGTTACTTCTAACACCGGCCAAACACAATATGGAGTGTTCAATCACAATATGGAGAATCCGGWATTACCGATAAGGGTAACTTTTACCGACTTGTATCAGTCAATCACAATCAAGTATTTTGATACCCATTCAACAAGGGTAAATTTTACTCGATGACAGCCAATCRCATTCAAAAACAYGAGTAATTTTTACTYRATGCGGAAAATATTACCGCTATATATGACCATATGTTCACGAGTTTACTAAGAATTCGTTTACAAGAAACAATATTTTGAAGACATAATGTTGTATGATATATTCTCTATTGTTTAGCTATTTCTACCTTGTTTCCAGTTACTTCTACCATGTTTCCAACTACTAGCTAATGATAATCAAAGTATTAGAAATAATCAGTTTAACATTAATTTAGTGAAAAAAGGTCTTTGATACATGACTCCCTCACGACTCGATCCCCTACCGTCCAGTCTATATGCGCCGTCTTATACCATTACACCACCGAGTTTCTGATGCGATTCCTTGGAAGACAACATACTTATAAATCTTATGGATTAGACTCATTAGGAATGCCATGAATAGCAGACAAAGACAATTTGAATAGCTTTTGTTTCAGAAAGCCGTCTGGGAATTGAAGAACAACAAACGGTGCTTCATGTATTTAAACTTATGAAAACTGAAAACCTTAGTGTAGATGCAATATATCAATATATTTCTGTTATATGTATTTCCTTCRCTTTTTTCCCCTCCCGAATAATTAATGAGTATGAGAAGTATGAATTAGTTGAATTAGTTGAACTAATTGCACGGACTTGAAATCCCATCCAGTCCTCATAATTTGTCGGACTTTAAAYATTACTTCAAACACATTAGAATTGTAAAGAACATGAAGAAATTACAAATGTAAAATCCACTCAAAATAATAAGCAAGAAAAACAAAAGGGAGAGAGGGTTAAACAAGTAAGGGGTCACAGTTACRTATAAGAGAAGCTTGTTCCACTTTTTGTTATCATTTGCTCTTTGACCAAATCCAATCTTCTAAGCTWTAAATGATAAAATTTGTTGTGCAAATGAAGAAATAGATGGCTGGAGTGTTTTGACAAGCTGCATTTAAAGATATTATTRTATAGAATTTCCCTAGTACAATAAATGATGGTTGAACTGTGATCCTGTGGCTCATCTCTGTTGTCAATATATGAAAACACTGAATTACACAGCTCCCAGATCTGAAAGAACAAAACTACATTTAATATTATTGTCCAACAATGAACAATTTTTACCACATAATAAACTGATCCTTAAATTGTCATTGCTAGTATCTTCATGGCTGGTCCAGATACAATGAGGCTGTCCAATATGCATTGACTGTACCAAAATACAGAAATAAGGTAATAATTAAAAGCATACACTCTTCTATAGAGTGGACACTAAACTCTGGGAAATTTTACTAAATACTACTCTTATTAGTATAGATTAGACATTAGAAAACAAAGGAATTAGAATAATTCAGTATAATGTAGCACTATGTTTGTTACTCTGATTAATAAGTGCATTCTCTCTACCAGAATTTGATAAATGCATTCAAAAATTTGAGAAAGTTTTTATAATCCTTAAGTGAACATCCTGCTAAGCACTAAGAMTAAAAAACTCCTCCATTTTTTATGTTTTTTTTTAACTTACTAGATCTCATTCTATCATTAAGATTTTTAATCGTAAATGATGTTTTAAATTTTAATTTTTGAATGTTTTTAATATATAATATATAATGTTTTTAATTATTTAAAAATATTTAATGTTTCAACACTGATAGTATGATATATCAGGATATTATTATAATCAAAATATTGTGATATATGAGAATATCAAAAAGAATAGTTGAGAATATCAAGAGATATAATATCATAATGACTTTGAAAATGTTTCAACATTGATTTAAGGAATAAAAGACGAAATTCCGTGTTTGATACTCTGATCAAAACACGCGGGATGTAGGGAGAGCACRAGAGAAGCGTAGGAAACCACGACGCGTAGCGGAGTGGTTTCCAGCTTTTCGAGTGCTCTCCCTACATCCCAAGTGTTTTGATCAGAGTATCAAACACGGAATTYCRTCTTTTATTTCTTTTCTAAAATTAAAAGAATAAAAGAAATTTTTGACGCGCACGAGCGTGTTTTGATACTGTAATCAAACATGGTTTTCGACCAATCACAGCACGCGTAGTATCCTAAGTATTTTAGCAAGTGTGATATATCATGATATTATCAAAATATCATGTCACGAGAGAGTTGACTTTAAGAACGAAGCAATAACATTGATATATCAAAATATCAGAGTTATTTAGGTGGTTTATTGGTAATATCAATTACGACTGATAATATCATGATATTATATGTTGATTACAAGTATAATTAACTTGTGACTTATAGTAGAGTACAAACACTAAAACTGTGCAACATAAATACCACTAAATACTGCTATATTATGCTAATTTTATTTTCTCTATTGTTTAATTAGCACTATTTGTAGCACCGGTAAATAGTGCAATGTGTTGCACGCTTTTAGTGTCTGTACTCTGTTGGTTTTCTTTTAAGGCTTTACAAAAAGCTCATGAAGATGGTTTGTTAAATGGACTCAAGAAGAGAGGGAAACGATCGAAGGTAAATCTAAATTATTCCAGGGGTTGGTACCCAGAATGCAATGATGCACTTACTTTCTCTGACTACCACAGATGTGTAACTCATTTGGCTCATCAAGCTTTATAACTTAGAAATGAAGCTAATCTTACCTTACATAATGTTATAATGATATCTGTAGGAAGAGATGAAAGAAGAAGAAGAGGCAATTTTGMGGAATGTCGTAGAAAATTCCCTTGACATAAGGTATGTGAAAATATGATGTCTTCATTTTCTCAAAACCTGTAATTATTGTGTAAGATTAGCCATGTGTTTGCACAGAAGGCATAATAACTACTTAACTAAACATGCTGCTGAAGGAAAACTTCTCAAGATTAAMAGAAGGCAAAGAAATCTGCATTTCGAGAGCGACTATGAACTTTTGAAGAACATCCATTTTCCAAGAGCAACTATAATATGATAATGCCTGAGATTTACTGCTCYATTGTTTTTATTTTCCAAAAYAAAATTCTCTGAAGCGGCGGGCTCAATTCACTGTAGTTATAAAGTAACTATTAAATAATGCGGGCATTCATTTTGTTAACGATGTGTTCAATCGACAAGTTGTTTCCATTCTCTGTAAGAAACACTTTCAGCTCATGTTCTCCCAACAATCACGCGTGTTTCTAAAAGATAATTATATAGAAACATGGAAAATATCTTCTAATATTAAAATAGCATTAGTAATGTTCCATAGATATATTGAAAACACTCTGATTCTCTCTCTTTAGAGGAGGACACAGTAAGCCAAGCATCTTGGACATTCTCTGGTTGAGAATCATTCTTYTGTAAGTAAATGATTGCAATATGAACAGAAAAATGAAATTCTGAATAAGTATTATTACATAAAGCAGCAACATTAATACATACTCAACAGTGAACCAGGATATAATCATCAGCGTTGCTTATAGAACAGTAATTTACCTCRGCTTAGCTGTTTAACCTTTTTGTGGCCACAATGGACCCAAGGCCAGGAGCATGTGCAGGGGTTACAAGAGGGGGGTTTCAGCTTCATTTCGCGGTTTCAAGACTGGAGAAAGAAATGGATTCACACTGAACAAACTGTTAGGCCATCTAAAAAATGTGTTACCCTATTGATTTAGCAAATAAATCTCAAATTTTAACTGATTTGACCCTCTGCACACGCCCCTGAACGCACAAAGCATTGGAATAAGATTGCTTGATTAATGGCACCTCACCATATGGATCTGTTTTTAGTCCCTACCATTTTTTGATGTACTTCTGCTGGTTAATACGMTGGTACTGGAAGTTCTCCATCAAACGAGAAGAGTATGGTGATGAAGAAAAGTTTTACCTAATCAAGAAATACATGGGACTATCCCAAACACAGTGGGATGTGAGTATCTTGACTTCTCTGCTCTTTATCAATCCTGATAAGATCACTGAACAAATGGATCAAGGGGGAGGTGACACTATTGATTTTTTTTTTTAATTCCAGTACAGGCAGGAATAGCCTCTGATCTATTTGTAMATTGATTGTTTATTMTATTGTTTTCTATACCAGGAACGAGGCTACTTTTACATTTTAGATAATTTGCACATATGTCAGAAATCTAATTTCAAGCCAAAAGAAAATAAACTCCAAAAATGAAAACAGCTCAATTCAGCAAAATTTCTTGCTTTATATAGTCCCATGGTTYCTCACTGAATCGATACTTAAAACAATCCAAGATGGCGGCCGTATTAGTAAAAAGGTCTATTATAATATGACTAAGTAAACTGAAAGGATTTTCCCTCTCATCAAKCTATAAATGTGGGTCACATGACTAAATCTAAGTTTGAACTTAAATTTATTGTTCATGGAAAATACGGTGATAATATTATGATGMATGAGCATTTCCTAATTTCTCAGAAAACTTTCTGGTAATTCAAAACTTTACCTGGTAATCCAAGATTACTGCATATGACTTGGGCATGTTTTAATAGTTGAAGTGACGGTTTTGGCCTCCATGTAGGCAAAGTCTTGCAAGGATACAGTGAGACATCGCTGTCAAATCATTCCTTTTTGTAGTTTCTAACGTTTGCAATGAGTGGTTCTTTCAGAATTGGAATTCAAAAGGACTTATATCCTAMAAACAGTCAGTATGCAGTAGATTTGGCCTGATGTTGAGCTTAGTAAAAACCAAAACAATGATAATGACGAATATGCCATCGACCGTTGATGAAGACTACCCAAAGTCCATCTGCAATTTAGAAGATTTCCCTCTTGAGAATGTAGGATCATTTACATATCTTGGTCAAATATTTCAGTATAATCAGCCATACACTGCTACAAACGAGCTTCKTAAAATAAAGTTGAGTGCTATCAACTCCTACTATAACGATGAAACATTCTACAAGAACCATTCAATTGCATTGAACACCAGAAGAATCATGATTTTTGACGCTATGATCAGAAGCAATATGACTTACTCTTKCCAAACATGGCCAACAACTGCTGCTTCACTAAATGTTCTATGTAGTGCTTACTGCAGATTGCTGCGAAATCTAGTAAAAGGGKGTACCGCTAGAAAGCTAACCCCCCTCAACGAGGCACTTTCACTAGATGATGAAGATCAATTTTTTGACATGGCGCATTGTCGTACAAACGATCAAATTTACAAGTATACTAGAGCAATTCCATTACTCCATTTTGTACATAAGCAACAACTGAATTGGTTTTCACATATCATACCATCACCAAACATTAGCTTTTAAGAAGTTGACTTTTTCTGATGAAAAGAACACAGGACGTGGYCAGCCATTACAGACTCTGGAACGATCTATCTACAAACGTTACCCTTTCAAAGAAAAATCCGTCATAAGATGTAGCTCTCTCTTCATTATTGGATAGTTCTTGTTTACTCGAGTAGAGTAACACTTAAATGTCATTCAGAGAATGACGAAGAAGGAATTGATTGATTGATATTTGATAATATCGATTTCTCACTATTTCCTTGCTATTTTTTGAAACTGCATAGCCGTAAACATGGCGTCACTTCATCTTTTTTTCTAGACAAAACTGCTTGGAAATTACTGACGGGTCTATTATTAACTCATTGAYCATCGAACGTAGTATTACACATTGTTCTGCAGGGGGTGGGGCTGTAGTGTGCACATCTACCGCTGACCAAATTACCAAGCAGCCAGCAACTCACCCTCTAAACTACTATTCGTTATTTTTGACTTSTTCTTTTGAAGGCAATGGATAAATCACAACACGATGACTTTTATGACAGGCAGTTATGGATACCAGAAAACTATAAGGTAAATGTCAACCATGGTCAAACAGAAACCTTTAGGAAATAAACGTTTTTTAGAATAACAACAAAAACAACTAAATCCGGCAGCAACAGCAACAACAGATTGTTTTGTGTTTGATTTACTGCCCAACAAATATCACGAGATTTTAACAATTCATTGACATGTAGAGCTAGGGTAAGACTTTGAACCATCTTTTTCTTAATCAAAAGATGGTCTAACTAGTGGTAGTTATTTCGTTAAAGCACTMTTTTGTAGCACTCCAATAATAAGTTATTTTTTCGCGAGAATGTAGTGTGCCCGAAAAAAATACCAAGCTCGTCAAACACTCTTTTTTGTTGTTGTAGGAGTTCAAAGAAGAGCAAGAAGAGGAGATGAGGAGGCAGTTAGCGCAAAACAACAAGTATAAAGCTTACAGGTAAGTACTAGATAATTGTGACCGTCCATTCTCAGTTGCTCGTTGCTTTACCGTCACTCTTGTAGCAAGTGCTGCCAGATCAGATCAAGTGATGTTATCTAATGCATTGTAAATCATGAAATCTGGAATTTCAGTTGTATTTATGTAGGTGTGGTTAGTAAACGTTGAATACTGAATACTGATGCAGGAAAGTGTATTACAAGACACCAATGCATTATTGATGTTCAATCACAGTTCAATATGAGTGTTCTTGGTTTTARAGTGACTATACCATCTACTTACAGTAAAGAAGTTCAGTGGAAAGCAATTAAGTTTAGAATTGTCACTTTTTAACGCAGCTAAAGTGAGGTTTAATAGCAGCAATGTATTGCGGTCTTGGAATGCAATATCACAGTATTCAGTATTCAAGATTTTCTGAAATAGCTGAATATTGTTCTGTTTTCACAGGCGTTACATGAAGAAAGGAGGTCCAGGACAAATGACATTCATGGAAGATGACTGAACAAATAATCAATTTTAGGAATATAATATTGAAATTCTTCTAAATTTTTCCTACTTATTTATGACAGATCTGATCTGTTACTACACCAAAACACTAGACGACTTTTTACAAGAATTTCGCGTTAATGCTAGAAATTCGCTTAGTGATGACAACTGATCAGAACTGAAGATGGCCCTACAGTTGAAAAAGATATACACCTACTTGCAGAAACGTTGTCATAGAAAATAGAACATTCGAATTTAGTAAAAAGGAATAAATTAAAACAAAACAAAAGAAAGAGTTCAGCCTCAGTGATCTTCTTTTGTCTTTTTAATTTATTCCTTTTTACTAAAATACAAATGGCCTATTTTTTATGAAAACGTTTTCGCAAGTAGGTGTATATGTTATTTACCGGATGGGAGGTCCGTACAGGAAAACACTGCCCGAGGTCTTGACAGTACGGAACGAGCGCGGCGAGGTCCGTTCATAAAAGACTGAGGGCAGCGTTTTCCTATACGGACCAACCTACAGCCGGTAAATAACATTTTTATTTTTTATGGGTATTGATGCAACTTTGCTCGCAGCCTAGCTGCAGGATACCGTGGACCGGGCAGATCGTGAAAAACCGGACCGCGCGCTAGCCAATCACAGCGCGCAAATGACTAGGATACCGGACCRAAAAAAAGGCTTCCCTTTCTTTGCTAGTTTGTTTTCTTCGATTAACTTAATGTAGCATGGTCCACCAGCATTCAACGCGATCGTGCTAGATTTTTCATGTATGGAAAATGAGTTGTCCATTCGCAATACGTTTCCGTCCGTCGGTTTTAAGATTTTAAAAGATCAAATCTTACATTATCTCCATGTAGCATAAAGGGGTAATAGAGTTTTTGCTTATATTACGATGTACGTGTCGACGCGTCTCGAAAGCAARGAAGCAAAGATATAACTGAAGTTTCCGGACCGTAAAGAACCARAGTTAAAAAAGGTGTATCGACATTTATTATCTTTCAGGTTTTCTTTTTCAATTTCTCAGCATATTGTATACAATTGTGTATACAATTAGACGAGGTTTCACGTTAGAGGAAAGAGAAAGTCATTTAACGATATTTTCATTGTAACTGACTTGTCAAGCTTTGCTCTTTGAATTTTTCTGGTTAAGCAAACGTTCTGATGATCGCTTGCTCGTGTACAGCTATTTCYAAAAAGGTTTTCTTAGATAAAGACAAGTGCACGACCGAAAGTTACTATGGGTATCAGTTATTCATGACAACATCCATCCATCAAAAGCAGCCAATACTTTGTTGCCGATAAATAAAGATCTTCAGTCATTGATTGTTGCAGATTTTGCCGTGTTTGAAGTATATCAGTAAATATTATCCTATATCAAACTTAATGTTGACAAAAAGTCCGTGATCACTCAAGCGTAACCTGACAGTCCATATGAAGTGTCAAATTCGACTAAAAGAGACCAGATTTCAAGACTTTTTAGTCGGACTAGCCGAAGGCTAGGTCGACTTGAGTTTTACCTTTTAGTCAATCTATCTATGTGTCATGTCGCGTTTGGACCACCGGAAGTTAAGAATTTAATGATTAACTATTGGATTGGCTGTGTTATTAACATAACCGGAAGCTCAAATGTATAGATGTACGAATATCGTTAGTAAATGTTAAATGCTACTTGCGCTTTTATGTGATAAAAAAAACCATTCGTTTACAAATGTGGTATCTGTGATCTCATCGGAATGCATCTGTCTAGGCATGATCAATAGTACGCGCATGTGCAGATCGCATGGAGCTTCGAGTTGTATGCTTTGGAATCTAAATAAATGACCTTTCTAGTGTTAGACAGTCTTGTGTGGGCAAAGATTTCAAATTAGAACAAGAAGAAACTTTGTTTATCAATAACAGAAAGGCGAATTTAATGATGTTATAGGCATCTCTTTCCTTGTAAAGTATTTATTTTCTTGGCCTGAGAGGTCAACGTATTAGATATCATGATATCACTTAGCCACATTTTGTCTAGCAAGTTTGATTTTATCAGTCAAAGCAAGGACTCTTTTAAAACGTTCTTATCGCATTAATTACATGACCTTTTAGGTCAAGTTTATTTAAAGTCCCAATAAATTTTCCATATTTTGAACTAGACGCTCTTATTAGACCGTGAGTTCGGTTATTTTGGAAAAAAATTAAGAAATATCTTTATCCATGTAATATTCCGTCTTTCTCAATTTTCAAAAGCAGCTAGTCCGACTTTGCGCTCCARGAGCGTCTAGTAGAAGGGATGCAATGTTAAAGACAATCCTAAAAACCTACCATCGAACCTAAGAAATAAAATATATATGTGACCTTTCTGTGTATTCTTCGTGAGAAAATTTGAAAATCCAAGTATGTATTTTCGCTTGTGGTTTTGATTATTCTTATGAAGGCTATTGAATTAAGTGGAAGCTATTGTTGAAGAGTCCCAGGGTTTCAGAGAGCAAAATCCGAGATATTTTTTTAAAGCTTTTTGCTTTTCTAATGACCGATAAACCTATATATTCTTTTAAAAAATGCCGTATTTGTGCTCTTTTTCGGCCTCTTCATTTCTAACATGTCAAAAGATCTAATCTAAGCAAATGTCACCCGATGYATGGCAATAAGTTTGATATGCCATTAAAATTGAATACCCACAGCAACTCGCGGTCGTGCAATTCGACAACCATGTCTGTAATGGGTAAAGGGAGTCACTGTATAAGGATTTTTTCGTGTTGTATCGTAGAAGCAACTGTTGACTTAGTTGTACTCAACTATATATTTTTAGAATGAGGTTAAAATGCCTGTGAAATTTAACTGATATGCACCTTTATGACTCTCACCTCAACTTTAATTGCAATTGATTTCCCAGCAACACAGCTTATACACCCTTTTAATAAGTTCGCTACGCTCACTCGTGAGAGATCTTTTCAACAGAGAATCGATTGAAATACTAAATAAATATAAGCTTATAATACGAATACTTTATTTTCAACTCGTGCTGTGGTTGTTGTCCAGGAAACCCCCTGAAGGTCATTAAGGCCAAATGTTTAKGTGCATGCCTTCAAATTAAACCCCCATATAATTAATTTTCTTCCCGGTTAATACTGCCACTTTTCTGATCTGTGTCCCTTCGGTGACAGGATTAACGAGGTTACACTATTTGAAAATTCATAAATTGACTTGATAAAACGCCGTCCTTGGAAATGCTCAAATTGAATTATATCTTTCGAAGACTACCAAGGTCTCCAGAGTGGTTGATTGGGTGGCGGCCCAGGAACAATCTGAAAACTATTTGACTTGAATAATGGCTGACCATTGGGAGGCGAACCAGTCAATACAACTGTTGCTATTTTACCACTCATTAATTGTCCAGGTAGGACATGATATTGCGGTGTTGGAAGTCGGTACGGAGGCCAGGGATGTCCTACTGGTTTGATGCACGACGAAAGATGAGAGAGAATCTTTGATTTGGCGTGAACATCCAGTGTATTGATCGATGAAAGATAGCGTAAAACTTCGTTTGTACACTCATTAAACCCTGCTCTGTAACATGCCATTGAATCTGTACTTTCAGCTGAAAAAACATATACGTAACCTTTATAATGATCATTTTCGTAATACCAGCAAATGCGGAGACCCTTAGAGTACGATTTTCTCACATATGAAAAATCATTAGAAAGCACCTTTGAATAACAGACCTTAAAGCAAATAAACGATCGCAAAGGTTCTCGGATGCTTTAACTTATAGAGTACGCGACGAAAACAGCCTAGATGTGCTGGTTATATATGCTGTGATTTTAAATATTATTAGATATATATGTACTACGGCAAAACGTGATAGACGTGATAGAGCAAAGTAGAAAATTTCAAGTTAGATTATCGTATTTCTCATAGAGGCTCTTCCTCATCCAATATGCCGGTTCCCGAACTCAAAATTACCCTTATCCCTGATTCCCACGAGTCCTATAAATGCTTAGTTTTTTTTGGTTGTGTTTATTATCCTGTACATCAAAATTTCTATGCACTGASGTTATGCTTACATTTCTACTTTTGCTTTTTCTTGCGATTCTCGTGCGTCGTCAGTCGCAAGAAAAACCGGGACTCAAATGCCAGCCAGGAAAAGGTAAAACAAGGCGAAATTTAACTATCTGTATGTATCTGTAATCAAGTAATCTTTAGGACCTTTAGAAACTTACATGGACTGATGGCCTGATTTTTCAGAGATCTCAAATACTGTACAGTCAGTTGTAGTATATCTGCCTTTTCAAGCTTTGCATAATAGGACCTCTGCAAATGAAACACAAAATTATTATTACCATTTGAGTGACAATTGTACATCAGCATCAGTAGTTATAGTATTAGCGATATTAATGCATTATTGCTTCTCATGCCGATCGTTTTTAAAGTCCGGTTTGAAAAATTGTTATGTCCGTATCTGCAGATACTACGTTGAAAGCCTACTAAGAGTTCCATGCAGTCCTGGCCGAACAAGCATTGTTTTTCCGATTTTATTTTTTATCATTTGTTGGCACAGAAACATTCACTAGCTCTCTTAGCTTACATCTTTCTTAGTGGCCTCCGTTATGAGTTGCTTGAGTTCATCGAGACTTTCATTGATTCTCGCTCTTCTTCTTTTCTCCATAATCGGCTTTGAGGAAGACTGGAGAGCAATCGTTTCATCATTTCAATATTATATGGATTAAAAAATGCATCACTGAAAAACATTCAATGGTATTTTACCTTCTTAACTTTGCCTGGATTGCTAGCCATTGGTATATCTGTAAGTCCTGGTTCAATCACGGTGTATAAGCCTTAATGTCATTTTACCACAAACAGGCTTTATCATCAATAACGCAAAGCTCTAATTGATCCTAAGCTTTTATAGTTAGTACTGTACTAATCTTAAACAATTTGCTAAATCAGGTTGCATACAATAGTCTCATTATTAAGGATGACAAGGCTTTTGTTAGCCCTTGATCCATACCGTGGGAACAGTGTGTGGCCATTGGCTGCCAGACGTGTTGGTACCGATTGCTGTACAAGAACAATAGGTATTCGTATCAGCTCGCGCAAGAGTATTGTGATGGGTCGACGGATTGCTACCGCAACAACATGCCTCTTAAACCTTTAACAATGGTTATCTTGACTTTCCCACGCTTAGCACTCAAATTGAATCAAGTGAATCTATATCCAGAGATACAATGGTAAACAAACTCAACCACAAAGGCAAATCTCTTGACAACAAATAATAACTTCATATAATCAAAGTTTTAAATACCTTGTTTATCAAACAGCATATCGGGTTGGGAAATTTCTAATGTTTCTCATTTCTTTCGATGATTTGCTGTATGTCTTCTTTTCAGTAACAGGACAGTATGTGCACAAAAGTTGAATGTGCCATTTTTTGCGACAATATTCGAACCCTGGAAGCCGGTTTTCAAATAAGCTGTGAGAAAGGGTATAATTTCAGGCTATAAAAGTAAGACGTAAGAGAGCTTAGGGAGAGAGTTACTGTGTAAAAATGTACGCACAGTCAATTTGCTTTATTCATTGCTTTATTCAAAGCTTTATTCATTGACTAAGCATGTTTTAACCGTAACAATTGACAACTGTCAATCACATGCAATTAACAATTGACAACAGTGTGCTTGCTATAGTGGTTGTCGTTTGGCTACTTTCGCGAAATATTATATCCACAAATATGATGTTTTGGAATAAACTAATGAGCTCCGAGTCCACCAGGGACCGGTTGAAAATCCATACAAAATCTAAGAAGTAGGCAACTTTATCCAACCTTCGTACTTACTGGTAACGCGGGGAGGATGCGGTAGAAAATGAAAAAAATCTCGCTAAATTGTCAATAACAATTTTTCATTTTTTTAAAATCAAATGTCAGAAAAAAGTGCGTATTGTAAAGCTTGGGATACCTGTGCGCCTATCCGCAGACAATAACCTCCTCCGCAGGCAACACTTCATTTTTGTGGCTAGTGCCTMGGAACGAGGCTCAAGCCACTATGCTATCGTCTTTTAAGTGCATGCAGGAGCTCCTGGYGCATGTGTGTGTATGAATGTAATTCGGAATAAACTCCGCTTTTACTCCGGTACATTTTCGTTATTTCGGATACATTAGTAATCTTCCGTGACAGTTTGGCTTCCTGTGTAATTACGTCCTAAACAATGTGATCATGTCACAACTAATGCTGTTGTGGCAGTCTGATTTTTGTACATTTCATAGGCATGTTGTAACAGGCTCTTAAGAGCTCACGCATTTAGGCCTGGGTCCGAGTCAGGCTCCTCGTGTGTGTCGTCTTTGTAATTTAGTAGTTTTTGAAAGAAGTTTGTACAAGGAACAAGAGAAGACTGTTAAATTTGTGTTGTTTATGTTTCTCCAATTGTTCGCGAAACCCCACTGTTACACTGTCTACCCCTCCCCTTACAATTATCTACAACTTACCTAAACCACCCCTCCCTCACAACTCTCTTGTCCGCGTGCACGCGCCCGATACTCGCGCATCCAATATATACAACGAAATGAACGACTTTCATCCATGTGGGATGTTATGTAAAAATCATTTTTATTTCTATTAAAGGAAGCCTATCGAGTCTACTTTCAAAATACAATATTATAGTATTCACTTGATCTATAATTATGAATTGTCTTAAGGATTTAAATTTTGAGTTTTTATATAGACTCAACGATCGAATACATGGAATATGAATAATGACAGCTGACTAGTTAAATTAATCTAGGATCCTAATGTATTTTTTGTACTTTTATTGACTACTCCCCGTCATTATCATTGCTAATTTATGAAAAATCGTCAACGTGGAGTTCTAGCTAACCAAAAATTACGATAACTGAAAAATTATTGCAACAAAGATTATTTAAAAGACTTAAATCTCAATCACATCACCGTTTATTAGCCATTCCGGAGTTATGAAATGAATTGTAATTTCTGTCATATTGAGCCAATCGAAAAACTAACCATATCACTAAAAAGACTTTATCGACTTTAGTGTAGGTTCCAAGTTACAGATAATTTAGACAAATATTCAATTAATGAGAAGCCGTGCAATTTACAGAGAATGTATGGGGATTTTAACCGCGTCCCCCAAAACAATACATTCTCTGTTAATTTGATGAAACTAGGAATAAATACTGTTCAGCTAGTTTTATCCAAACGTTTTGAAACTTGGTATATTTACTAATTTTTGGGTGTCCTTTCATGGGGTGGGGTTTTTTTCGTGATTAGATCAATATTTCTTTCTTCGTTTTCATGTGACGTCATCGAAAAACCAAAACCAGAAATAAACATCTTATAATAATAATTTCAAAATATGTTTTAGAAACTATTGAGATGACTAACATGAAAAAGTTTGAAGTCATTTCGTTGTTTTGTGCTCAAGTTATAAGGGCCCAAAGTCTGTCACGCAAGACTGTCACGCGTTTCTTATTAGCGACGAAACTCAAAACTAATTCACCTAAGATGGAAGATTTTACCTTAGGCATGTTCAGAGTATTTATTTTTAGTATATTTCAGTAAAAGATATTGAAATATGTCGAAAAATCCATCATAATTAAGGCCGTGTCACACTGGCGTTTTTTTCGTGCAACTTGTGTCGCGCACTGAAAAATGTTGAAGTTGCATGATGCCATGTCACACCACAGGGAGCCCAAGCAGTGACTTTGAACCTATACTGGTTAAAAATAAAATTTTACTTAAAAAAATGGTCTACTTTTATTTTATTCAGTGTCACAATGCATTATAGATGGGTTAAAAAAAATTTCCCCTCCATTCGCGCCAACAAAAACAATAGCGAAGAGAGAAAATATCAAACCTCTGGGACCAGGGTAGCTACGAAGATGTACCGAAGCCAAACTTTCGACATTGTGAAAAAAAAACAAAACAAGAAAGTGTCAGCATTTTACTACACGTACCCCCTGCATAGCAGGGTACGTGTAATAATGATAATACGCTGAAATGAACAACAGCGGGAAAATTGTGAGAAAGTTTTAGTTAAAGCACAATAGGAAGCCCACACAAGATTGCATACAATTATAACTGCGATCACATACCTCATGTCATCGCAAAAAGAAATGTTTACCAAAACGTACATTGCAGTGGGATGCTCATTGCATTCGATGCGGGAAAAGCCAAGAAAAAATTTGTAAGAAGTTATTAATGATCAACTAGCTGTCAGACGGTGACGTAAACGCCTCTCGAAACCAACCAATCAAGAGGTGGTAAAGTGAAACTGCAGACAAGCACTTTTCGGTCTGTTGTTTGGTCTGTGAATGAAAGATAGATAGCCCGTTGAAGAAGTGCCTCAAATTCATCAAAATGGCCACTAACGATGCGATATTTATGCACAACGATGTTCAACGACTCTTCCGAAACAGAACTGTCATAGTTTTAGGTGATTCTATTCAGCGTTCTGTCTATAAAGATCTTGTTTGCCTCTTCAGTGATCCATCTAGTGGGTATGTTTATGACTATGAGTTACGTGCGAAAGGAGAGCTTTGTTTTCGCAATGACCGTCTTATTCGAGGCGGTGTGAAAGGAGAAAAAGTCAACAGTACAAACTACAGAGAAGAGCGTGAATACCGCGATGGAAATACAGTCTTTAGGTATTACTTTGTTACTCGTTGTTGGAACGAGTATGTCGAGTCCATTGTTAACAATGAAATGACAACCTCAGTGCAACCAGATGTTATCATTATGAACTCCTGTCTGTGGGATATCCACCATTATGGAGACGAAGGTAAACAAAACTACGAATTCTTCATGCAAAAGCTGTTTAAAGCCATTAGTCAGCTGCCATCTTGTCCTCTGTTGGTATGGAATGCAGCACTCCCACTGGCTGAATACTGCAAAGGTGGTTTCCTTAGAAAAGGTTTCAAGACTTTACCGCCATATGAAATTGACATAGGCAACGCTGTTGCAGAGAGACAGACCCAGAGGTTTAATTTTATTTATGTTGATTTGTACAGATCTATCAGTAGACATGAGATATTTAAGCAGGCAGATGATGGTATTCACTGGTCTAACAGGGCTCACCGAAACATGACCAATTCTATCTTAACAGCCATATGTCACAGATGGAATATGAATGTTCCTGTGCCAGTAACACTGCTACGACCACCTAGCTATCAGCAATTAGAATGGTCGCCACCACCAGCATATTTACATCAGCCAATGTTAACCCCCCATGTATACAGATATCATCCATATATGTGGCATCCTTTACAAAGAAATAGACCTAACCTTAYTGGTCATCGTAGATCATACACTGATCCTTTCCCGTTGGCTAACCAGTATTTGGACAACCAAGAGGTAAGGAACAGGCAATACAGAGCAAGGTTTATGAAGATGAATAAGGTCAAGACACCAGGTGGCACACCTTYACCAACCAAGGCATCTGACAGACGTCCATTGAAAGAGTCAAATGCTGCAGCTAAAGATAATTCACCTGCTACCAAAACAACAATRAATGACAAGGTCACCAATCCTCAAGATGACAGCCTTGAGAACACTTACAAAGACTGTGAAAAGTGCTCAGTTTGTAAGGAGGAGTGTGATGATTTTGAGAATGCCAACTGCTTTGCACATGAGGACAGTGAAGTTGAGGTACTCAGCAATGATAACACAGAAAAACAAGAGGACTCAAAGAACACTAATAATGATAACGTGCTCTATAAGAATGGTGATGATGAGCAAGACGATAGCACTTATAAAGACTGTGAATGCTGTGGATCTGATAAAGACTCAACTGCAACACAGGATTTGCCAGTAAGTAAACCCAATATATTGGTGCAAGATAATGAAGAAGACAGTACAGATAAGTCAGTTCATGTAGATAATATTGATAGGAATAACAATGCTAATTATAGTAATAGTTGTGAAAATGAAAGAAAAAGGAAAAGAGATACAGATGATGATGATGAAAAGAGCACAAAACAGCCAGAGAAAATCTCTAAATTGGCTTAATAACATATTGCTGAGAAAGAAAAATTAGTGATAAACTTTTGATTGATGTAGTTCATCRTTTTTGGCAATCAAGAAAACCTTTTTAAATATGTTAGTTGAATTGTTTTAGATTTATGACGTATTTTATGAAATATTATCTGAAGGCAGCATTGGTATAAGCAAATCTCAAAATGTTTTGTGTGGGAATTCTTCTGTAAAARTTAACACATTAACAAGCTAAAAGTACTATTGCTTTTTAACARCAGGTTGCTTTTCATACGTATTGTATCACTCATGCTTGAAAAATCTTGCTAATACTACATTATAATCTGCTGAACAAAGCTGTTCATTAGTATCCAATATGCATCACATGACGCAGCACAACTGACACTGAATAATCAATCAGCAGTTAGAAATGTACAGTTTTACCGAAAACAGGACATGCAAGACATGTATGACATATAGCGAGACTGTTGAGCTTACAAAGCAGGTTWTCTTGCTTGTGTTTTGGYTTACTTTAGAAATCCATGTATGTTATCAATTACAGGTATTCCTGCAGCTTCTCACATCAATTATCTCACTGTTGAATCTTTTTGATAAACATAAACATTTTTTTTTTTCAATGTAATAAACTATTTGAGATTTGATGTGATAACCCAATGCTACCTGTTTGGAATTTACCTAACATAATTTGACTAATTTAACTCTACTACAGTAAGTGATTTAGATAGCTGTAGCAATAGGCGATATGCATTATGGCRTCATTTACTACAACTACCAGAATGCTTTGCCARCTTTCTTTTGYAATGCAATTAGTGCCAATTGTTTTAATCTCCAAGGGGATTAAAAATCAGACTGAATAACAATGAAAATCCGCAAGGCTCTGTGGTAGTTGTATTAAAGTTACGTCATAATGCAAACATCCTATTGGATCTACTCTTTGGTCTTCTTCACAATCTGGGTTTGAAGGACGAAAAAGAAAGCTATACTTGCTACTTCATGTGAAGAGAATGTTAAGATAACTGTTACTCTGATTCACTGCGATTGACTTGCTAAGAACAATAGTAAACAAGTTATACAGTCAATGAAGCATAACAAAAATAGATATCTGGGGCTGGTTATATGAAGGGTTACAGAGAATGGAATTTTCATATCTCATTTATGACACCAAGAGCTCTTTTTTGATGTTTTAAGGCTTTTTGTTTTTATCATGGCTTACATTGAAATAAATAAAAGGATAATTCCAACCTCTACTGGAACTGTGTGCAATCAAGGTTATTAGATATCCTCTGGGTAAAGCCTTTTCTAGTGAATAATTCCTCTGTAGTGGATAACTTTACTCGGTGGTTCATTTGTACAACCATCACTTAATTAGATATCTTAACATTCACTGAACAACTCTCAGTTGAGTCAATCAACTGTAATCTTGTCAAATTGGTAAAAGATCTCATTAGCATACCAAACTTGGGGCGCTTTCCATTTGTCAGAACTGGGTGGCCAGACCCAGAGAAAATATCATTATATATCATTCATATTTGGTTAGGAAATTCAAATTTTCAAATTCTATCCATTATTATATAGAAAACCTCGAAATGACTGAAAAATGTTGATAAAAAGGAGTATATA